AAAAGACTAAAGTATATAGGACAGTTTTTCAAAGTCCTTCCGCTTTTATTATACAAAAGTGGGTAAATTTTCGAAACGTCGTCCTCTACACTTGTGTCTCTACAACAGGCAGTTACCGTCCATTCTACAAAGTTGCATCATGAATATTCTGCCTAAAAAATCTATCAAAGAATACACAATGGGCTATCTGTGCTCTGCCCACCACGGGTATCGAAACCCGGTTTCGAGCGTTGTAGTCCGCAGACATACTGCTGTGCCACTGGGGGGCAAATAGTGATTCAATAAACATCATATTATTTAGCAAATACAAGTGTGGTCTTGTAATATAAGCTATTTCAGAGCTGTTACAGTGTCCCTCCAGTTATAATAAGAAATTCACACTTTTAGTAAGAAATTGTAACGTCATCACGAGAAGATCTAAAAAAATCATATATATGTTGATTAACTTTTCACTACGAATGTGTTCAGAAAAAAGTAAGCTATTCAATAATCCTTTATACAGAAAGTTATTGCGCTTTATAAAAGTAATTTGAATATGGTAACACAGTGCAAGCATGTTTCGTAGGTACGAGTTTTGACAGTACAGATGACACGTTTAGCACCTTATATTAGGTCTACAACGAATCAAATCACGCTGTCATACAAGTTACATCAGAAATTTAGATTGATCCTGACCATTCGACAGTGCAATGACGTAAGGCAGCCTTTAAGGAAACATATTCATATAGTGTGCTCGTTAAATGATCTACTTCCAAAAGCATCTCGCAGAAGAGAACCGCCAGTGTTCTATATGTAGGTGGAAAAACTTCAACTTGCACAGCAAAGCATTTTGGAACAGCAACAAGCTTCGAAATTACACTTTATATCAGTACGATAATAACCTCACCCACGGAATGAAGGCTACGATTAAGGAAGAGAGCTCTCTTCGTTAATCGTAGCTCCCCAGCTCAAATGAAGCTGGACATATCTCCTGAATAAGGGGAAAGTGCATGGTGTGCTTTGGACATGATAGGCTAACGAAGAAGCTTTGTGAAATAAATACTACGCTTCAGGGCTATTGTTAAGGGTCACGGTTGTCAGGTAGAGCACTACAGGACCTGGTAACGTGGATTGTAACGAAGTGGTGAGGCTCTAAAACAGTTTTATTATAACGTATTCAACTCTAGTGGCGTGTCCGCCTAGGTGGCGTGAGGGAAGATCCTCATTGGGGAATTCTGCCTCCTAGCAGCCTCCCAGTCTGAGATATCAAGAATTAGTCTTTTAAGTTTTGAAATTATCCCTACATTGTGATTTACACTGACATGAAAGTTATATATTTACTGTTGTAATTTGTTTTTTAACTAGAGGGGGCTGCGATTTTGATGACAAGTTCATGTTAGTCCTAGAACTCTCTAGAACAAGGCTTAGTCATAAAAATGGGCAGTGATACCTTGATAGCAGTAGAATTAGTTAAGATAATAGAGAGTGAACGAGTGTGTTAGTTATCGCAGTCGCTATTACTATTAATTTGTACAAGTAAGTTGATTGTTTTACGATAATTCACGTCATTTGTAACGTAGGCCTACGGCAGCTTACAAGTGTCGTCTGTAGAAATGTTAAAGGAGGAAATAAACTGATTCGTTGTAGTTTACAACTTTACATGGTCTTAATCTTGAATTATTTTCATAGGATAATTTAAAACTATCCGTCAAAGAGAGAATTATGCTACAACCTATGTAATTTAAACCGAAAGAGGTATATTTAATAAGATGAGACCTGGGAGTGGATTTAATGGTACTGGTAGTTGTAGTTTGAAACAGCATCAGAACATCGCAGAACTGTGCAATGAGAGCCCGAGAGAATTTCAGCTTTTTTATTATTCAAAAGAATAAATATACTCTTTTTCAACACAATAAAGCCCATTTGCCGTGTACTTAATAACTTGACCACTTCTGCCTCCACTCCCCAAATAAAAATTCTAGATACGTCACTCAACTTCTGTATATTCTAAGAACAAGAAATGTACTCATTTAATTAGAACTAGCAGACCCACAAAAATTTGCAGTCAAATTAGTATCTTTATTGCAACAGTACTCCTTTAAAAATTAAACACAGAATTTCTACAGTAATACAAACGAAATTTAATTCGCAGACACAGAAATCTTATAAGCTTTTATTAAGTACAGCCTATATTTGATAAAAGTGATTAATTAACACTGTAACTTTTGTACATTTTTTGCTTTAGTGTAGTTAGGGCTAAACTATACCGCACTTAATACTATCAATAAATAAACGTATACTGTTATTCTACGACCTAAAATTAGACCTTTTTAAAAATTTTGATAAGCTTTTAATATGTTGTTGTACAAAATGTCTACTAAAGTATATTTACATTCGCCTTCTTTTTTACATCCGTTGAAATGAAGTGCTCGCGCATGTGCATTTATATAGTAAGGCGCGCGCCCATTTTCAGGACATACAAAAACTGAGTATTATTATCATAGAAGAGGTCGAATGTGTACCTGACCCTCCCAGGACCAACAAAATCGAATCTAAAATCCGATACAGCAATTTAAAACTTCTGCATAGCAACTTTTTGAACTATACTGTAATAGGTGTATTCTAGAATAAGATTAAAATATTGTTCTAATCGCGTGAAACGAGAACAACAATACAATTAAACAACAGTATTGTTGACTATTTACAAACACTATCTATGGGGACTAAGAAATAAGATTAATAACCTTTAATTTTTTTTGTTTTTATTATATATATCTTATTTTACTTTATAATCGTCCTATTTATAAAGTGTTTGTTATAAATTTCTTTTTTTTATTGTATAAGTTGCTTTAAAACAAATGAAATGTATAGGAGGACTATGTTGTATTTAAAACAGGGCACGCTTATTTTATGGATAGACTTTCTTTGATTAACAATTCAAGGTCGGAATTACTATTACAAAGAATGATGAATCCTATATCGGGAAAACTAAACGACATTTTGCCGTTCGCATCCACGAGCACATGAGAGTATCATTGAGGTGAGGTAACATCCTTTTAAGTCCACCCATTTCGGCGATTCGGAACCACAGACATAAAACTGGACATCCAATAACTAACTCAGAACTCGTCATTCTTTGTAATGGTAATTTCGACCTTGAACTTTATATTGGTGTAACAAAAGTTCTATAATACTGAAAGCTCAGCGTAATCAGTATTCTCCAGTACTTTTGTTTGTAATCATGCAGTGAGTGATATCAGACTATTTATTTAAAAATACATTCTGATGACTCCATCTTATCAATTCATGATCCACAGAAACAGATTTTTTAAGAGTTGAGCCAAATACCATGAGAAATATTGAAATTACGACATGCTATATATCGTCACCACGGGTAAACGTACTGAAATATATAATAGAGCACAACTACTAAATACATGAAAGTTTTTCTTCATTACCCATTTAAGCCGTCTCCAGCCATTATCTTTTAATTAGGTTACCCTCGACTGCAAATATTTTGTGAAATGATTTTATAATAAACAGCATGCTGATACATAGTATTATTAAAAAGAAAACGTCACAACTCCTTTTAACAAATATGAGACGATTAGAGAGAATAAACGGATTTTAATTTTTTTTGGTACTATTAAATAAAACCTTCAATAAACGTTCAGCATTGAATGTTTTCTCTCAACTTTCTTGCTTAATAAATATGCTCAATAGACGAAGCAAACGCATCTGTTCTGCGCAGTGTCAAATTTGCCAGCCTATCAACAAGGGACGTCACATATGGTTTGGTCTAGGGTTTTGGCGGAAGTATTGCAAGATATAATACCAGGGACAACCTCAAACCAACTGCACTTGTTCTGAGTCTGACTGCTTTTCAGAAATACGTGTATATACCTTTGTTTTGACATGACAGAGAACCAAAACCGGTAAGTACAATAAAAAATTATAAAGAAAAAATCGACATGTCTAAATGTTTTTTTTTAGTTTTATTTTGTGTGACGTTTCGGGCAGACGCTTTTTGTCTGGCAGTAAAGTCTGTGTTACAATGAACGATTCTTTCTCAGCTTTATTTCATTGTAACACGATTTTTCTGAGGTTAATTTCATTGTAACAAGTACGGTCTTTACTGCCTGACGAAGAGCGTCTGCCCGAAACGTTGCACGAAATATAAAAAAAAAAAGTTTTTAATTAGATGCGTCCATTTATTCATTATCAATTTTTTCAAAGATTTATCTCGTCACCTCTTGCGGAACAATATTCCTTCAGTATGTAGAATACCGCTTTACTTTAATTTTAATATAGATTAACTGTAAAACAAATTTGCCTGTTAGTGTTAAATAGCAGGGCGTTGGTAGCATTATTCTAACAAAAGTACTTATATTTGCATAATATTTCTGTTCATCTCTCTATTTGGTGTCCGAGAAAAGCTATGCTCTTTATATTACTTTCTTTTAAGACTAGCTAATATGTTATATATACGTGACACTATGATATTGTTATTTGTAGTTACAAATATTAGCTTATAAATTTAGTAATAGAAACTATGTTCTTGTGTAAATATTGTAGTTTGAATGAAAAAAGTATATGCAAGTTCTTGTATTAAATTTTTAAAATGCAAACAAATGTTTGTATTAAAAATATATGATTTTGTAAGATCAAATTAACGCTATTTTAAATAATTTCGACAACTGCGAAACTATGGTACTTAGAAGTATATGACTTCGTGTAGTGTGACGCTGCGTAATAGTACTTGAATGAGTAAACACGACAAACAAAACGTAAAATTACGAGTTACAACAAAAATGACAGGTTTTCAAATCTTTGAGAATTCGCAACAATAACAAATATATATATCAGGAAGATAATACTTTTAGTTTCAAATCGCGCACTCCCTGCTTAATGCTACAATATGTTTGAGGCATAGTCTTGTGAAACAATTACAAATATTTTCGTCTTGAGGCTCAACTCTCAGTAAGTAGTCTTGTCTAATATTAAATACTACCAGAAACATTAACAATATCATAGCAAAGCTCAACTTATTTATATTTCATTTGAATAATAGTAAGTTTACACCAAATGGCATACATATGTTCGTAATTTGCTTTTTATTTATAACTTAATTTGCAAGTGCAATTTTTCGTGAGTCAATATTTTGTTGTAATGTGATTCTTTTGGATTATTTGGTAAAAATAATGCCAAGTCCAGCAAAGAGTGGGAATAAGGTAATAAATTTTGTTTGTCTGTTTGGAATTAAGCTACACAATGGGCTATCTGTGCTCTGCCCACCACGGGTATCGAAACCCGGTTTCTAGCGTTGTAAGTTCGCAGACATGCCACTGGGAGGGCAAGGTAATAAATATTTTGGGACTAACCTAAGTACATAGAACAAGTGAATTGTCTATGGGCTGTCAAAAAGTAATATAATAATTTTAAAAAATATTAAAGTAAAAATAATTAAACTATAGTATTTCCGTAAGCCTGTAACGTGTTCTATCACTTCTATCGTTCGGCAAGTTGTTTTGCATTATTTGGTGAAAATAATGTGAATTGCGGTCCACGTAACAATAACAAATTGGTTTATTTCCTTTAAAAACATTTCTACAACTTACAAGTTCGTTAATTTTGACACAACTAGTTGGTCTAAATGCACAAAGAACATATCATCACTACCTTCACAACTAAAAAAAGGCCTAATTACAAATACAACATTTAAATTTTCAGTATAAAGCGTGACCTGTACGCCTAATTTAACTAGAAACTTATTTAACTAATTTAATAGAACAGACTCGATAACTCACTGAATTCTCAGTTACTTCTTATTAACACTTTTACGATGTTACTTCTCTTTGACTGGCATTCTAAGAACTGAACACACTGTTTCAATGATTCTCGTATTTATAATTGATGTATTCATCTATATCTTAGTCGAACTTACTAGATATTAATCTCATGTGCTCTGTAGTAAACATCTAAATTAAACCAATGAAAATATAGCATACAACCCAAGTACACCATTTTCAAAGGGGGACTAAGGTTCTTAATAAGAAAAAACAGCTGTTAATAAAAAAGTAATCGTTATTGCCAATAGAGACAAACGTAATGATTACAGATTGATTTGTTTCTTGCTTTTCACTGTGTTAAAAGTGTACATTTTGATTAAAAGCATGGGCGTCTCCAGAATGTTTGCAAAATGGAGGGTGAAGAGGAGGAGGTCATTTCCGAAATCAATAACACGTGTAGGTGTAAGTAAATCGTGATTCAGCAGCAAGATTCATGTCAGATTGAAATAACACAATAAATAATCGAAAGCGGTTATGGACATGAAATTATAACACCAAGTTCGGCAGTTTTTGTAGCATTAGATTTAATTCAACGTGGCCAGTGTAAAATTTTTACTTTTTTATTGACTGCCCGGAAATTTATGGCAACCCTGGCCAAGAACTCAGAGTTGTTTTATGTAGATTTTTATACTTAAAAAAATCTGAAATGCGAAAAGTGAGTGATGATGCTTAGCTTTCTATAAGTAGGTATGTTATACACAAGATTGTATTAAGCTCTTCGGTAAATATGTACATCACTTACACTAGTAGTTCTCAGTCTTTTCAGGCTTGCGTCCCACTTTTTGTTTAAACCTTTTTTAGAATTAAAAACACAATCCCCATAAAAAAACACGAAAAATCTAGTTGCAAAATATTAATGTTAATATTTTTAACGTTTACCCATTAATGAGAAGGATGTGATTGTTTTTTTGTTTTTGTTTTTGTTTCCGGCGAAATTAAAAAATATGTGTTGCGTCTTTTGTCAATTTGAAGGAAAGAAAACACTGGTGAGTCTAGAAGTGAAGAGAGTAGTGTATATATTGTACGCGAGAAGTTCAAATTCAGTTTATTACAAATTTTGCATTGATATTGATATGTTATGCAAGAACGCCCATCACTAAGGGATGCATTTTAGATATTCTGATGCAACTATCACGGTGGTAATAATTTTTCATTTAAAACACTTGTTTATAAAACTTCAAATTCTAATTATCAGAATAGTTATTTACTGAGGAGGCCTGTTCGTGTCAGAACAAGCCAAATTGGGCTATCTGTTGTGACCACCGTGGGGAATCGAAACCCAGATTTTAGCGCTGTAAGTCCATAGACTTACCGCTGCCCCAACTGAGGACTGTTTACTGAGACATTGCATACTTTCATATTCATTTTATATCACGGACGCTAGATGGCATTTTAAGCGCCACATTGCCGTACTGTATCTAATGGTTAAGAGTGTTGCTAGGCGTTTATGGAGTTTCGTAAACTTTACCTTGAAAACGTAGAAAGAATAAGTAAACATTATTTTACTTTTAAATGAGATAGAAGTAAAAATCTTCAGTGGTATAAAGCAGAGACAAAATAGGATATAAACAATATTTTTACTTCCAATAATTATTTAAATACGTGAGTAACTTGAAGTTCTTTCACTCGTACTTTTTAGCTTCCATTTTTGCTGTTTTTTTTTAATGAAATGTTACTGTTCGGTACGAAAGGCGGCTACACGTTGCCGCAAAAGTTGCCATATCAGTAATAAATTCGATAGCATACCTATCTATAGTACGTGTAAATTGGATTATTCAATTAAAAAAAACATGGTATATGTATTTCTTTATTCTGCTGAATAAATAAACTGCCCCCCCCCCAGTGGCACAGCGGTATGTCTGCGGATTTACAAAGCTAGAAACCGGGTTTCGATACCCGTAGTGAGCAGAGCACAGATAGCCTTTGTGTAGCTTTGTGCATAATTAAAAACAAACAAACCTTTAGTAACTTGACTTTTGATTCACTTTTTCTTTGGGCGCCGTGCCGAAGGCTCAGCCGTAAGTATGGGGGGCTTATAATGCTAACAAATCGGGTTTCAATACCCACGAGGGGGGGGGGCAGAGCATAGATAGTCCCTTGTGCAGCTTTGCGCATAACAACAAACAAAACACTCTCAACATCAGTACAAATACACATGCAGTTTCAAATCCAAAGATATGTATTTGTTAGGAATGCACGGGTAGTACAATTTGGTCGAATACCGGGTCCGGATACCCGGTCACTAAATTTCGGCCGGTGTCGGCTGTCAGCCAAGATCGGGTTCTCACCCCCCTCATAAAAGAACAACAAGAAAAAAAAAACATACACAGAAATTAGAAACAAAAACAAAATTGACGTTTATTACATTTAACCGAATAATCACCAACAGAACATTCAAGTTTTACTTTCAACTTTCAATGCCTAGCCCCAACTTCTCAAACCCTAATTCCTATTGTTCTCGAAAACCCCACCTTCTCCAGAAATCCACTTCTCAAGCCATGCCTGTTATTAACCCCTATTGTTCTCTGAATCTCCGATTTTTAGCGGTCGGTCGGTCGTTGTTGCTCGGAACACGTTTTTATAAAATTAAACCAATTATTGACTGTAACTTTCAGTACCGCGTTAGTTCGCACAAAGATTAAGGCTTAGATGCAAATTTCAATTGCCCCCCCCCTCCCCACCAGTGGCACAGCGGCATGTCTGCGGACTTACAACGCTAGAAACCGGGTTTCGATACCCGTGATGGGCAGAGCACAGATAGCCCATTGTGTAGCTTTGTGCTTAACTTCGAACAAAAAACAAACAAATTTCAGTTACCATGATTCAGCTGTTTTCAACTTCGACATTCGGCTGGAGCCGAGTATTACCGGGAAGTCCGATACCCTCCCGGGGTTGAATATCTTGCCGAGTACCCGTGCATCCCTAGTATTTGTGTATATAATGTTCTGTTTAGAAAGTTGCTGTCTAGTTATCGTGAGAGTTGCAGTCTTATTGATTCACTATGCTCAGCTGTTATGTGTGTTTTGCTAAGTTTGTAAACATCGATTTTCAAATTTTATCCAATAACATAAGCAAGTGTATACATCTGTGTATTAATGTTGAGAAAATCAGAGGGTAAAGACTTGCAGAGTGGATTACTTTTAGATTTGTATGATCTGAATTTTAAGTTTCTAAATAAAACTTGAGTATTTCATTAGATATGATATGAAGAAGCTAAACTGTGCGAGTTGCGCAGTAGAATAGCGTTGTTTGCATTTTAGAATTTTCGTTCAAAGCTACACAAATTACTATCGGTTAATAGTCATACCTAAATTTGATCTGATTGATTGGAGGAAAGGCAACAAATCAGGATAACCCACCGCCAATACTTGGACCACTTTTGTATAACTGAATAATGGTGTTTTTGTATAAATTGGAGTTAACCGTCACGTGTAGTGCACCTTTGGCCCCAAAGTGCGGAGCGTGTTCGTGCGGCAAGGGAACGTGAAGTGTGAACCCTTTGATTCATAGTCCGGACATGCTAACGTCTAATAAACCATGTACATGTGACCCAGGAGAGCTTAGACAAACGTGCTGTAGGGGAAGAAAATGGAGTAAAAAGCTATACATTTATCATGTTTTTCCTCTCTCGTATGTTTTACGATTGAATCATCACCAGTTAAAAAAATAAGTAAAAAACTCCCATATTATTCATACGAATGGAACGAGTTATCTTGAATAGTTATGTTGACATCTTGTACATAACGATCTACATTAGCACAGGATGGACTAAAAATGTAATGTTACACAAGCAGACGATTCAGGTAGTTTTGAGGTGGTTTTTTTTTTTCGATAGAAAACTTCACAGAATCTTAGCACATTGTTTTAATGTATTTTAAAACAATCTACACAGATCATTGGGATATGATTTATCTGTGAAAGGTAGAATTGAACTTATATAGTCGAGTGTATTCGCTGTGATAGATTTCTAGAAGTATGCGGGGGGACCTTCCATCCTGTCTTCTGCGTTGTATCAATAAACACTAAAGGTGAATTCTTCTGCTATAAATAACTCCCGCCAGAACTAAAGTTTAGACTGGGTGTTCTCAGAATGATCGCTCTTATCACGCAACCTCATATACTGGTCTTAACCTTAAATTAGCTTAGGATGGAAGGCGGAAATGTTTAACGGGTTATTTCTTTTTTATATGTAATATGATATTTTTCTTATACAGACGTTACGTTTTTTTTATAACTTTGTTATGAGTTTTACAAATTAGCCAATTAAGGAAATGCTTTACTGGGAGCAGGGGCGTTGAGAGCCAGCCAAAGGCCCCGGGAGTCAGTAATATCATCGGTCCCTCCTTTCATTCTATTTGTTTGTTTGTAATTATGCACAAAGCTACACAATGGGCTATCTGCGCTCTGCCTACCACGAGTATCGAAACCCGGTTTATAGCGTTGTAAGTCCGCAGACATACCGCTGTGCCACTGGGGGGCTTCATTTTGTTTATTAACTTTTACTGATTTTTCATAAAATAAATTTAGGTGACAAATTTCTTCATGAATCCATGAAAAAGCAGTAGCCATTTTATCTCATTAAGTAGTACGCATTTCTACTGAGCCTTGAAATATCCCACTGCCGGGCCCCAGGACAGCTGCCCCACCTCCCCGTCCCGTCAACCCTGACTGGGAGTAATAGGTGAAAAATAAAAGAGGAAGTACTTTCTCAACCCACAGTTTTATTAGACTTTTGTGACAGTTTCGTTGCCAGACATAATTCTGTTAATTGTTCTATGGACAAGAGAATGGTATCACCCAGTGATTAGTGTTTCGGGCTGCGTGTCGGAAAGTCCAACTTCTAAAGATCAGGACAAACCCCTTGTAACGGCGGATATTATACCTGAAACCCAAGGATTTCTGACCTGGTCGTTTAGCCCACATGCACATAACGTACTACTCAGGATGAAAAGTCCAATTCCAGTTCATTTGAACATATAGTTCGTATGTAGCACTTATAAGTTTCTTTGGAAAATGTGTATAAACTAAAAGTATTATTCATTCCTTGAATCCAGACGTAGAGATTATTTATATAATCTAGTTTGTGAGAGTAAGAATTAGCTTACTTTTCTCGATTATTATAATTTCCTCTATTTAATTTAACAAAAACCATTTCACCTTTTTATTTCAACAGGTAGGAGCTACACTTTAGAGATTAACAAATGTATATTGAAAACTGACGTTAGAATCAATAACTGGCAGGAAGCGAATGAATATTTATCGTAGCATCTTAATTAGTGTTTTGGTGTGTTTAATTTGATTTGTAATTTGTAATTTAATTATGCACAAAGCTACACAATAGGCTATCTGTGCTCTGCCCACCACGGGTATCGAAACCCGGTTTCTAGCGCTGTAAGTCCGCAGACATACCGCTGTGCCAATGGGGGGCTGGTGTGTTTAAAGAATTTGTGATGTAATAAAGAGGGGAACCAGAAGGGATATTTTGTCATTTTGTTTTATAGAATAAAATAGTTAATGAATGAGATGGCCTCAAAACAAAGTTTAATACAGACTACTTTTATATTAGCATAACTTGTTAAATTCATAGAGATTGTTAAGTTTTTTTTGTTTTGTTTTTTGCCTGTAGCTTAAATAAGAGTGATTGCGATGTTATCCTTCGCAACCCCCACATCTCCAGTATGACCGATGATGTGTTGTATCACCTGTCCCTTAGTTCAGGATCTTACGACCTTCAACAGATGTTTGGTGACATCAAGGTTAGTTTCTAGCCGACATCTATCTAATATAACACTTTATGCAAGATAATTTTGGGCATTAGTGGGCTCGTAGATGACGTTATTGCAAAGCCAATACCCTCTCATCAAAATGTTTATTTGGCTATAGGAGTATTCGGTACTGACGTTATTTGTCTTAAATGTAAGATTCATGTTGTGAAGATAATTTAAGATAATGCTGTGTTTATAAATGAATAATAAATTTTGAAGAAATAAGGATTTAATGTATTTTATTGCACGAGCTTGTAAAATAACCTTACGGATTCATCTATTAATATTTGTTACTATATTTCTTTATGTCTAATTCTGGTTTTATTAAAATCCTGTCGACCAGTTTTAAAGTCATTTTATCAATGTTTATGATGGGGTGTTTATGTAGTTCGTGTGCATGGGAGGAACGCCGAAACGAATGGAGAGTTTCGCTAACTTTATCCAAAAGGAGCTGAATATTAAATTACCAACAGGCACAGTTCTGGACGACATCAGCAAGAGATCTTACAGATATTCGATGTACAAGATCGGACCTGTCTTGTCCATAAGTGTAAGAATACTCTACTTATATTATAATATCACCGTTGACGTATTGGTTTCTTAAATACATTAATAAACGTCGTGTGTCTAGTTGAAGTTCTGTATAGAAAGAGATTCACTTGTATCAGTAGTGTAACTGAAGTTCAATGCTCTATAATCATTATTGGAACTATTATTTGATAGAATATTGTATGGAAATTCCAATATAGGTTTCTAAGTTACCTATTGTATATAAATGGAACTGTTCTTTAATATAATATGGTATAGGAATTCCAGTAGAGGTTTCTATATCATATATTGTAGATAAATGGAACTATTCTTTAATATAATATGGGGCCCGCCATAGCCAGGTGGTTAGGGCGCTCGGCTCGCAATCTGTGAGTCGCGTTATAATGTTACGGTCAATCCCACTATTCTTTGGTAAAAGAGTAGCCCAAGAGTTGGCGATTGGTGGTGATGACTAACTGCCTTCCCTCTAGTCTTACACTGCTAAATTAGGGACGGCTAGCGCAAATAGCTCTCGTGTAGCTTTGCGCGAAATCCATAAGAAATAATATAATATGGTATAGGAATTTAATAAGGAGTTTCTAGATTATCTGTTGTTGATAAATGGAACTATTTTTTAATGCAACATCATATTAAATACCCAACAACGGTAGTCCTTGATTCATATATTAGTAATGTACATTGTTATTCCTTTCTTTTCAGCATGGTATGGGGATTCCATCTTTGTCCATCATGTTGCACGAGGTCATCAAACTGATGTATCATGCTAAATGTAAGGATGTAATTTTTATTCGTCTTGGAACTTGTGGTGGAATAGGTGTGTATCATTTGAATTTCTGATTAGCGTATAGAAACAAAGAGATGGTTTTAGACGTTGTGATACATAAACTAAAGATGAATTAATTTTTTTCTTATTATATTTTGATGAATTAGTGACAAAAATCCTGCAACATTTAGTATCCCAGTATCAGTTAGAACTTCATAAGATGAATGAAAAGCTTTTAGAACTGAGTGGTCCTTATAATTAAAAAAACAAAAACAAACTTACTTTTGACTTGTACTCTCTTATTTAAATTATTCTTGTATCTTTGGTTTTTAACCTTTTTTTCAGTACTATCATGATTTGTGAATTTTCATCAATTTTAACATGTAATTTTACCGTGAAATGTATGTTTTTTTCTTTTTATATAATTATCGTAACTTACTCCTTGTTTCCGTGTGTCTATCGATCTCATACGATTGCTGAACACTGATTCAAACGTTCTAATGTTGTCAGATGACACTTGCTGAAAAACATTTATCCAAAAACTTGTCTTGGGTTCATTTTTCAAATTACAGAAATCAAGCATTTATAATAATTGGATTCTTAATCTTTCACCAACCTTTTATTGAACTTTAAAATAGTGTACATGGTTGAGTACATACTTTTTCAACCACGTATTTAGTTACACACGTGTACTATGTAATCTTCAAAAATTTGAATATTAATCAAAAATTGGAGTTCGAATTTTCACACTTTATGCGCACGTGGAATAAACGACCAGGTTAGAGACCCCAAGAATTCATGTGTAACTGTCCCTATTTTAGAACTGCTAACCAGAGGAACGAAAACCATTCTCACTTTTATAACGCACTCACATCAGATAGCGCTGAGCGAGTACCACCTTATGACGTCTCGAACCCTGGATCGTTAGGTCCGCAGCCCGACATATTAACTGCTAGGCCACGCCTGATCATATCATTTCCTGAGAAAACACTTGCGGAATGTTGATAATCAACTTTAAAACTTAAAGTTTGTCTTCATGCATGAAGTAGTTTGCCTTTTCCAAACTTTTAAAATTGCTGTTTATAATATATAGTTTTCACCGTGACAAATAAAAAATTAGTTGTCTTTGTAGAAACTGTACACAAATGCCAAATATCATGCCCATAAATTCGTTCAGATTCTAATTATAAGCAAAACATACACTCAGTATGTGTATATACAGTAAATTTGTCATACATTTATTTTCCCGAAAGGTGGTCGAAGGCCGCCTGAAGGAGTCACCTGTTTTAACCACTCACACCACTATACAGTAGTGTGTTGTCTGTCAGTCAGTCAGTAGACACTAAAATCACATCCCATAAGGGACGTTTAACGTTGCAGTTTGTACTCTTGTGGTGTCAGTAAAACGTGCGTATGCCATGAATCATGAGAAGAATTAAGTACTCTGTAGGCTACAACACAGCATGACATAGGGACTTCAAAGGCAAGAAATAAAAATATTTGAAACTCTTAGATTTGGTTTTATTTATTCTTGTAACAGAACACTTTCGGGAATTCTGTGGAAGTACATCTATTAATATCCGAAGTTTATCAAGACGCGTGGATAGAGCGTTGAGCGCCATCTATTCGTCCGTCTGAGGTCCATATGCACCATATTACTCATGGAATTTAATATTTTTGGCAACATATCTTTTCTCGCACCATTGAAACCAAATAATATTAATTAGAAACACGGCTATACTCAGGAAAGATAAAGCATGGATAAAATATTAGCTTCATATTATATAGCTTCATTCCCTAATTTGTTTAAATAACATGGAAAACACGGTTGTGCACCGTAAAGGTGAAGCACGTAGAAAAGAAAAAAAATAGTTACGGGATATGTAGCTTCAATATTTAGCTTATATAATTATTCATTAGCTATTCATTTGAACCTAAATTTATTATTCGGTATTTCAAGACACTGTTTTGAACTTTCTCTATAGTTATTGATCTAGTTATTTAAAATTGATCACTATTTACTCTTTTAAGGACTTCCTGGTGGAACACTTGTCATCACAGAAAGTGTTGTGGACGGTTTACTGCGCCCGTACTTAGAAACGGTAGTTAATGCATAGTATATGATATATACTTATTTGATTATCGATCTGATCTTGCCTTCATTTTATTATGTACATTTATATTGGGCGTATACACACTCACACACACACATACCTTTCTCTAAATATTTAAATGTGTGTGTGTGTGTGTAGACATTTATGTTTATAAAGACCATTTTTTATTTAAATAAGTTACAGAAGTTGTTACAAAGTAAATATACATATATATGTTTACAATGATAGTCAATTTTAAACGAGTAATTTTTGTCTTTACAAGAAATTGAATTAGATTATCGTTATAGTTCAGGCGCTAATAACTATTCGCGACAGAATAGTTGAACTAGTCAACCAGTTTTCTTAACCAGGTGTTTTGGGTATACCGAACAGCGATTGCGTCGAAAAATGCAATTATTTAACAAAAAACAATTAATTTAGTTAGGGTTGTTTGTTGGTTACTGTAAATTGTTCGTGACTGGAACATTCTATTCGTCCATTCAGCGAGGCGCTCTTCCCCCCTTACACTATAAAGGATATTAATTTGGCGGGCTGAGAGTGGAAGGAGGAGGAGACGCAACGCAGTTTAAGTAAAATTTTCAGTCAAAAATGTGATTTAGAATTACGCTACAATCCCAGCGGTTTTTAGAATTAATTATTCCAGTGAAATGACATGACAGTAAATTAACAGGTTTCTCTTATTTAGTGAAGACCTTCTTTAGGCGTTTCGTCCTCCGGTGGGTCAGAAATAGGTAAATTTAAGGACTTGCAATGCTAAAATTCGGGATTTGATTCCACGCGGTGGACATAGCGCACAGCCAGTTGTATAACTTTATGCCAAAAAAATACAACAGTAAATATTTACAGTTGTGTACTAATTGTACGGGCCCAGGTAGTTAGAGCGCTCGACTCGCAATCTGAGGGTCGCGGGTTCGAATCCCTGTCACACCAAACATGCTCACCCTTTCAACCGTTGGGGCGTTATAATGTGACGTTGGTAAAAGAGTAGCCCAAGAGTTGGCACCTCTAGTCTTACACTGCTTTGCGCGAAATTCAAAAAACAACAAACAAACTAATTGTACGTTTTCTGCACTAAATCATTCTTCAACTCAAATGTGCTTTAATAAATTTTACTATTAGAATTTTCTACTAATATGAAACTATTATTGTAATAAGTTCTAATAACGTAATTATATCTCAAATATATACAATATTAGTAAGTACATTTATATTACATACCCACCATAGTAGCGAAACCCGGTTTCTAGCGTTGTAAGTCCGTAGTTATGACCCCCCCCCTCCCCAGTGGCACAGTGGTATGTCTGCGGACTTACAACGCTAGAATCCAGGTTTCGATATCCGTGGTGGGCAGAGCACAGATAGTCCATTGTGTTGCTTTGTGCTTAATTACAAACAAACAAACCGTATAAATACCGTTGTGCCACTGGGGGGGCTACATTTGAGTATATACTTTTTATAAATACTATTGAAATGATAGACTAGAGAGAAGGCATCCACCACAAACTCCGGGCTACTCTTTTACAACATTACAACGCCCCTACGGCCGAGAAGACGAGCATGTTCAGTGACTAGATTCGAACCCACGACCTGCAAATCGAGTGCCTCAACCACCAGATCATGCTAGGCTCACATAGCATTAGAAAATTTTGTATAGAATTGTATAAAATTTCCATAACCATCATATTTCCTGAGGTATGTTACTCCGCAATCTTTACTCTTTCTCCCTGTTCTTGATTTCTTTATAATTGTCTCCATTTCTCTGAAATGCCACTGGTCATCAGTATGCATGTTACTATTTCTCTATGCGTGTAAGATTTGTGTTTCTTTGTTTCGAGTTAACACTAAGCGACCGTTAATAGAGTTGTGTTAGAAATCTAGACATTTCTTGGAAGAGGGAAAGAAATTTGTGTTTCTTTGTTTCGAGTTAACACTTAGCAACCGTTAATAGAGTAGTACCAGAAATCTAGACATTTCTTGGAAGAGGGAAAGAAATTTGTGTTTCTTTGTTTCGAGTTAACACCAAATGCTCGAAATTTTTTTCTTTTAATGAGCATTGAAATATGTGTTTTCATATTATCACGGATATATATATCTATGGGAGAAGCAGATTGTCTGGCCTGCTCTAGTAGCGTGCAAGGACAAACAGTTTCGCACTACAAACATGTTTAAGAGTTATCTCTACATGGGAGTGTACCAATTCCACTCGTATTCTGAGACTAATAAACCAATCTTTTTTAAAGCTGTAAAGTGTTCGCGAGGGTGTAGACCGCTTAGTTAAGATCAACAACTAACAGGAAGTAATTTTGACTCTATAAATAGTATAAGCCCTGGACACAAGGATACGTAAGACTTTCTAAACTAGGCAAACTTTCAGTAGTTTTAAAAATTATTACTTGGTTATGATGTTTTCTTATAGACCTGTAAATAAATATCATTGTGAAATAAAGACCTGAATTTTTTTTTGTTTCACGTAGAAGTTAGAACGTAAATTATTCGTAAAGATGCGTAAAATGACGTGTTATCGATTTACTTCTGAAATTTTGTGTGTATATTTCACAAAAGTTGAAGCAGTTGAGATTGATAAGCACAATGTAACTAGAGTTTATTTTCATCCGTAGCACGTGTTAGGAAAGACAATAAAAAGACCAGCAGTGCTAGACAAAGAGCTGGCTGAAGAACTAATGGATGTCGGGAAAGAGCAACTTCCAGACTATAACATTGTGATGGGAAAAACCATGTGCACGTATGACTTTTACGAAGGTAAACTACCGTCATTCGGTTCTTCAGAATATGAAAAAAAAAAAAGAACGAAACAGGAATAACAATAATCATCTTGTAAGTCATGATTTTTTTAAGTTAACTGTAGGCAATATATTGGAAGTAAATTCGATGACGAAGAACCCACTATGAGACTAATAATGGTTGGAGACGGCTTGAATAGGTAATGAA